GCGCTTAATCAGCTGCTTGCACTGTATGCTTCCCGGGAAGCTGAGAATGTTTCGGAGTGTTCTATGGTCTGCTGGGGTAATAATATAGTGTAAAGTGCATAGAGACTGCTGTTGAGCGGGGATATGCGCTATACAAATGCTATTTATTTATTATTATCTTTTGGAAAAAAAACATCCATTTAACTTGAATAAAAGTCGAGATATTTGCATTTGAAGGGGGTAGGGGTCACCTGGTTTCAATTGTAAAATTAGCAAGAAAACGGCCGTCAAAATTAGGGGACTTCCAAAGTGTACATTTTTTGTGCCTTTATTCGATTTTTCAGAAAAATCAACACACTTTAAATAGAGATAAAATGTGCTGAGTGAAAAACCAAGAATCTGATAAAAGTTGTCAAATCGTCAGAAACATGCCGACATCTTCGATTTCATTATTTTGACTGGCGCCTGGCTTCACCACGACGCCTCCCATAATATACACTTATCTTGCATGTGGCGTGTATCCACAATCCCAGAAGTGGGAGATTTGCTCCAAAAATTAGTTGAGGCGGGTATCAATAATTATTGTATCTTGACAAATATAATTCACAGTGGAAGTCAATATTGTCTTTTACGTAGTATTCAAAACAGCAATAGTTTCCACGTCCAAAGGGTGAAATGGACCCCATCGATTAGGCTAGCCAATTTGCCACTATTTAATTTTCCCAACAAAGCTTAACTCCCCTTGCTGGCTTAACAGACTGGCGTGCTGCAAGGGTCCTCGTAAATGGCGTTCATTGAGCCCCGTCCCAGCAGAGAGGCAAACTAATCATCAAAAGACCAACTTGAGGCTTTAGACAGTAACGCTTTACGTTCTATCAATCACATTCAAAAGAGAGAGAGAGAGATGCCTTTAGAACGCAGGCTGCATCAGAAACCGCTCTCGCCTGTTCTTTTCCTCATTTGTTTCCTCTGCCCCCCAACTTGGTGGATGGCTATTATCATAATATCAATAAAGGCGGTGCGCAGAGTGTGACAGAGCGGAGGGCTGGGTGTCAGTCAGCACTGAGAGTGAACGCTGCTGCCAGCGACTCTCCACCAATGAGATCTCCCACCCGGGTTCTGGACCGTCCTTGCTACGAATGAAAGCGACCGGGTGCGTGAATTTATTTATTGCAAGACTCTTCCGCCTTCGTCACACCCGATGAAGACGGGTGGTGGGGGGGGGGGGGGGGGGAGGGCGCATTTGTCCCCAGACTATGCTTATTTCTTCTTGTTTTTCTTGTTATCTTTTCTGTGAGAGGAGACGGCTGTCTTTTTAAATGACACCATCAAAAGTTTGACAGTCTCGAAAGAATAATAATATTTATTTCATGAATTATGCTCGGGTTGCCCTCAGTTTCGATAAGTTATAAACCTTAACATGAGTTCTTACCGACCCAAATTTCGGGTCATGAAATGCAGTCTTTATGCATACAAAATCAACTAAAGAAAACAGAATTCAAAACTTGCAAACGAAGGCGTCCAGACTTCTACGCTGGTTCAGTGAACATTCAGAGGTGTAGATCAGGCTGCCATTTCGCTACCCTGGAATTACAAAGTTCTATCTGCTCAGTAACCAGTTTTGAGAAATTTCACGTGAAAATGTATTACTTTCGCAACATATCAAGCTCTTTCGAATCTTACGATTTTGAAAGAGCAGGTAGAACATTTAGTTTCTGACCTCATAGTCTTAGTAATTCAAAACGGTCAAAAATGCCAGATGGAACTTTGTAATTCTAAAGTTGCGTGGCTGAAGTAGTGGGGGATAAGAAAGTTGACTCTATTCTCGTGACCGCCCGCCGAGGAGGGTTAGTGAACAGACAAATCGAGAGCAGATCGGCTGCTCCCACATCAGCTGCTATCTCCGAGATCAGTTTCAGACTGAAAGCGTTAACAGCATTTTTTTTCCTCTAATAAACACCCACAACGGGGAAAAAATGGGTCTGAGAGCTCGATGTTTTTTTCTTTCTGCAATCTTCGTGCTCAGGTTCAAGGCAACAGAATAGGACCAATAAAGGACACAGTCTGTAAAGATGATATTGTGACAAAGCCCTCATTGTGAAAGTTCGGATACCTAACACGGTGCAATAGTGAGCGTGTGATTGATTGATTTATACCCTTTAGAACGCGCCTTACGGTGCAAGGTAAGTTTGTGGGAGGGAGAGAAGCTGTCTCATGAGTTCCAAAATTGCTCATACTATGTTTCCCTACGTTTCTCAGAGCTTATACTTGTATGGGATAGCTATATAAATGAAATCTATTTAGGCGTCTGTGGTGTAGCGGACAGGTGCTTCGCTGTCGTGCGAATGAGACCCGAGTTTTGAGGAGAACATTTTTATCTAGTATCTCGGTTTTACTGTTGGGATATTGCATTCCTTTCAACATAGGGCTAGCAGGGTCGGAAGCCCGCCTCCTAAATCATCTAAATTTTGTCGATAGCGGCGTAAAAACGCCTACAATTAAGAAACAAATTTTGAATTAAATGGACAGAACACCTAACCCCTTTCATCACCGAGACGTTTCCACCTACGTTTGGGTGGTTGGCGGGTGCTCTGGTGTGGTTTGCTTCTTCTTTCCTATCAAACATCTATAGTCTTTATCTCCCCTTTTTCTTTTTTATGCTTGTAACTCTCTTGTAACACCTCTAATCTTCTGGCGCTCATATGACCTTATGCAGTTACGAGTGCCGTAAAACGACATGTTCAATCAAGAAAACAAACAAAGAAAGAATACATTTGCCCTTAATTAGTATTTTAGAATAAGCAACTGTGCAAGCAGTAATTACATTTTTTCCTCAATCCTCCTTTACGTTTAACTGAGTAAAGAGAAGCACATCGACATAACAATGGTCATTTTCGTGTTGGGAAAAAGTAATACAGAAAGACAGAAACAGTAAAGGGAAAGTAAAGAAGTAGGACCTACCAGTGGTGCCCTTCAACCATCCGCTAAACGTCTTTTATAGACTTGAAGAAAACAAAAATGCCAAAGAACCAGTTTTGAGGAAAACAATGAGTGTGTACGTCTACACGGTAATGAAGAAATTGCCCATTGAGGGCACACATTCTCTTCATTCGAAAATGCTTGTTTTGAGGCACTTAAAAAAAGCAAAATTTAGTTCTTCATACATATCCTAAATTTTCTTCTCCGTATCTTAAACTTAGAAAAGCATTTAGCAGCAGGCAAACTGAAATATGCAATTTTTTGTTTCTGACTTACGTAAGGTGGTTTCAAGTATGCTGAAAAATTGCCTTTGGTCTTGCAGCTGATAGAGCATGTTTGATAGCTAACTTCTTACAGAGCTTACGGGGTTTTTTTTCGGGTTTTTTTCAGTCAGAGAATTCCTTTTGCCATCACTTGACCTCGACAGACATAAACCATCGGTCAGCTGTTAAAATATACTGAGAGCCCAAAATTTGGAATGTATTTTTCCCTGCAGTTTCTTAATCCGTGATAGATCTAGATCTATCGGTTGAAAAGTATGCTCACGAAATATTTTTGCATTGTTCAATTCTAAATATTTCAAAGAGCTAGAACAAATTAATAATGCAGGCCCAACTTATTGAAAGAATAAAACAGATGGTTTTCTTTTTCTCTCCTGTAAAATGTTGCTTTCTTGGATAAGTACATTATAACAGCTTGCTGGCGAAATGTATAGGTTTGTAAATCATTATCTTTGAAACCAGTCGGTGTTGACTGCCTGACAGGTGATATCTGTGAAGGGTGCCGACAAAATGAGTTACTTCTCGGATTCGAGCCCTATGGAAAAAGCTACATCACGCTTATAGGTGACGTTTTCACAATTTATAAGTATGAAATAAAATAAGGCATGTTATACTTAAAGAATATGACCAATGGAAAATCTACAAATTTGACCCTAGTGTCGATTTGTGGCCAATATTTCCATTTGTGGATTGTGAGAAGTAACTCATTTTGACAGCACGTCTCACATTTGTTTTTTTGTTTTCGTAAGAGTGTTACGGCGCTTGCAACGGCATAAGGTTATGTGAGCGCGCGAAACAAGTTTGTCTTATTCGCAACAGTTCACTGCACAGCCTGACTCTGGTCAACATTAAATCCATTTAAAAGTTAAAATGCTAAAAATTTGATGTAAGTGATGATTTGAAGGGAAGAAAAAACAGTACAGCGTCCTACTTACGTAGAAAATTATGGAATTGAACATACCACCTTTTGATTGCAAATTGTGAAAATTAAGTAACTGTAAATTTCCCCTATTGACACAATTAAGATTTTTCCTACTTAGGGAGCAGGCTACTTGCACCCTGACTGTCAAGGTCAACCAGAACTGAGAGGAATGTGCTATAGCATCCCAGCAAAAAGGCGGAAATGTTTGATATAAAAAATAAATCTCCTCGCCCGGGACTTGATCTCACATACAAAGGCCAAGAGCCTTGCCACTATATTATACACCCCATGCTTTATCTTTGGATCAAATGAGCGTACTGAAACTGAAAAAAACAACAACAACGTTATATCATTATTTTTATGCATTTTATTGTAGACGTTTTTCTCCACCATCAACACAAATTTAAACGTTTTGGGATGTGGGCTTCAACCCTGCCTGTTAAGGCCAACTCAGGCAGTAAAGGACATTGCGTTTCATCAGAAAGACGGAGATTCTCTGTTTTAAAAAAAATACTTATCACACGGGAATCAAATACACGTATTCTGTGTGAGATGTGAAAAGCTTAAACATTACACTAGAGACGCTGATGAAAAATACAATTTGTACAAGAAGATTACGCCAGTGCAAAACATATAGTTCTTCAAGTATTGTGTCCCCTCATTAAATCTTTTTCAAAGTGGTATTACTAAATGTTTTATAATACGGTCTATCGAGATGTATCCTGTTGATTTGATGCTTCAGTATGTAAAATAAGGAGGTTGTTCTGGTTTCTTTTTCAGACTGGACTACCAAATGATGAAAGTGATGGGCTGAGGAGACGACATGACAGTAGAACCCAAAGCTGTGAAAAGGACCTTGTTCATCTTCTAAGCTGTATTGTATTTCAGCTTGGGTTGTGGATAATTTCGTAGTGGAAGAGGATGTTACGTTTCTCTCCTTGTGTTGGGGTTTCGTTGGGAACAGTGTGATGGGTTGGTAGAGCAACTGGCTGTCTCATTCGAAATGCATTCAAGTCAACACACTCTCAACCAATCAGTTCCATTTTCAATTGAAGCCCTGATGGCACCGGCTTCTCATCAAGGCCTTCCATTCCTCCACGCCAGAAGATTTCCAGCTGCACCATGTTCACTCTTACCTCCCCTTTTTGACAGCCACCTACCTTCGGCTTTGAGGTTTACGGATCAGACGTACCATCTGGAACCTCGGACCATCTCGGAACATGTACCGTTTAATCCACGGTTTTATCCTGCTTCCGATGCAGCGCTTAGACTTACTCTCTCGCGGATTTCCCCGGGTTTCCTCTCCCTTCCGTGGCAACAACAACAACAACAACAACAACAACAACAACAACAACAACAACAAAATGGTGACAGCCATTTCCCACAGGGAAACTTTCTCCCCTTTCGACAGGGTCAAGGTCACCTTCAATCTGTGACTTCTCATACTTCCGGTGTCCACAATGGGCTTCGAGTGCCTGTCGGCGCGTCGTCCTCTGCATGTCATGATTTCCCCGGTTCACACATTGTCTCAGGTATAAGTAGGCCTTTTCAACCAACAGACAGTGCTGTAGCGTACTCATCTTTCCTCACCAGGAATTCGCAGGACGTGCGCAAACAATCCCATTTCCCGTTTCAGAACGTATCGAAATACGTCACCAACCCTGTATCCTATGTAGGAGAATTCAAATTTACGGATAATTTGGTGTGTAGACCAGAACCTAACCCAGAGGAGCAAGACTTTAGATATCATCACAGATTTCGTTTTGGTCGCAGCAGACATAAAAACACACCCTCACAATCTATTTGTGAAAAAAACTTACACCAGCAAAGCTCTTCTATACAAGGAGAAGGAGGATCTAAGTCCAGATCTCAGACACCTTCCTCATCCAGGTCACGATCTCCACTCTCCCCTACAACCCCTCAGTCTCCGGGTTCAGAGTCTCCAACCGGCTGTCTTCACAACGTATCGGTCGCCAGGTCCGTTTCCCCTGGCTCCAAGTCGCTGACATCAGCATCTGACAAAGTAAGATCCTGTCCAACAAATGAAGATGATGTGCCTCACACTGCATTACGTAAATGTCAAAATTCACTCATCCCCGCCACAGCGAAAGAGCACGATGTGAGTATATTATGTTATTCACCTTCTGAACGGGAGGTGACGTCTTCGGGTACCCAGGATGCCACTCCTGAAGAAATGAGTGACAGTGAAATTCTGTGTGTCTCGGGGCAGGAGCTTGAACAACGGGACGCCAGCTATGTACCTATGCCAACGTCTCCGTATCTAGAGCTGGAAGCCAATCAAACACTCAAGGATACTGGGACAACGCAGCCATTGATGATATACGACCAATCACAAAAGGCCGAGAACAGTAAGTAGGCCTACCGTTGTTTTTTCCTGCTGTCCTCATGTACACATAATTGATGTATGGCTGAGAAAAATCTTCCTTACGTGGTTGGACTGTTTTTCTTCTTTATATGAAATGCTTTTTCTTATATGCATGAAGTTTTACTCTCAGTAATCATGCCATCGATGTAAAGCGCTCAGAGCTTATACTTGCATGGGATAGAGCGCTATATAAATACAATCTCTTGCTATAGTATTATCAACATTACTTTTATTGCTCTTGTAAATCGAAATGGTTACTGTTATGAACCCCCCCCCCCCCCCCCCCACAAATTAATAGAGACAACAATGTCAGCGCTGCAACAATTAATTTGTACGATGAGCTGGTATCTCTAGAATAGCTGATCAAACTCAAAAAGAGTGGTATGGTTTTCTGCAGATAAATTTTGACTTCTTGCGCCGATTCGCATCAAACTTTTACCAATAATCTTTTCGAGATTTGTATTAATTACATAATATAGGTAAATGGTCCTAGACTGATTATTAATGAGCAATCGTTCTCTTTGTCTTTGTTAAAGACAATTTTTTATTGATTGGGGTAAAATAAATGTGACGACTACAAGGTGTCAAAGCTCACAATTGCCTGTGTCGTCATACTTTGTATTCTAAAGGCTATCTCTCCTCTTTCTTTTATTATTTGCTTTTCTCTTGTAACACTTCTAATCTTCCGCCCTTATGTGACTTAATTGTGTTGCAAGGGCCGTAAAACGCTTTCTGAACTCAGATATTGACATGGCATTGGACTCAGTTGAAAATTTCCCTAAAGCATCCTTTCTGAACTTTCGGATTCCTTGTCATGCTTCACTTCACTCTCCAATGTCATACTTTTGCATCCGAAAATAGTTAAATTGCAGTTGAGGATTCAGTCCTTGGCTGAGTTTTGGAAAAATATCATGTTCCTAGCCATGTGGGCATCCGAGGAAATGAGTAGTTCGATCTTCTGTTGGGATCAATTAAGGATACCCTCCCACCCACACAGACTATAAAAATTGGGCCAAAAGCAACACCTCTCAAGCTTTTGCAAATGCAATTCTTTAAATATCTTGATAATAACCTTTAATTGCCTTACGATTTTGATACAGCAGACAGACATTTATTGGCTTTTAAATTCGTAGGTTTAAGAACTCAAAACGTCCAAAAATATCAGATAGAACTTTTTAAATTTTAAGGTAGCGTATTATAACATATCTACTTTTTATATTCCCTCCTTTCACTGTTATTTTGGAATATAATAATATGTGTCGGCTTCTTCATAAATACCTGTTTGTGTTCTATGCACTCTTAAACTCCTTAACTCTTTAAGGACGAAGCGAACATTATTACATGTATATTATATGTGTTGCATCGTGGTGAAATCAGGCGCTCGTCAAAATAATGAAATCGAAGTTATCGCATTTTTTCCCTGACGATTTGGCAATTTTAAGCAAAGTCTTGTTATTTGGTTCAACAACCTTTATCTCCATTTACAAATAATATTTCTGTGTTGATTTTTGTCTGAAAATCGTTGATTCCGAGTTTTAAAAAATGTACATTTTCAGTTTCTAATGACACTCAAACTTTGGAAGTCACCAAACTGCGGTGGCCATTTTCTTGCTAGTTCTACCACAAAAACAAGGTGACCCCCAGCTCCTTCAATCGCAAAAACATCGACTTTTATTGAAGTAACTGGATTTTTTTCATTAACGATAATACCAATAACTCCACAAGCCCAAAAATTGATGAGCGACTGATTCCGCGGCGTTGTGACACAATATTATGTCTGATCAGCAGCAGATCAAAGGCAACGTTGCAGCACTTTTTGAACCTATTCACACAATAAATAAAAACATGACTTTGCATATTTCATAGCTTGTATGGTGTTGTTTGCCGTTATAAATTTCGGAAAAAGAATACAGAATAAATAAATACATAAATAAATGAATAAATAAATAAATAAATAAATGAGTAAATAAATTAAAGTTCAAATAAAGGAAAGAGGAAGAAAAAGTTGTGCAAACTGACTTACCTAAAAGCACTGAGGTAGGAGCCCCAAGCCAGTGACGTCACCGGTTGCCCTAGATACGGCCTCGGTGCGTCCAGGCCGCCAAGGGGGGCAACTGGCGTCTGCAGCTCCACAGGGGCGACGACTCTTCTGTTGGTGGTGGAGTTTTTCTTGGTGCCCTTGTTCTTCCGGGGCCCTCGCTCTTCCTGCACGGCTGGGAAGGGGGGGGGGGCAAGTCTTGTTAGTTTTAGTGAGAGTGTTAGGGCACTTGCAGCACAATTAGGTCGTATAAATGCCAAAGATTAGAGGTGTTACAAGAGGGTGACAAACACAAAAAAGAAGGAGGAGAGAGAAGGACGATAGATCTAGATGTTTGATAGGAGAGAAGGAACAGACCCCATCAGAGCACCCGCCAACTACCCATTGAAGGAGATGAGTCTGAATCTGTAATGATTGTCGTAAATCTTTTCCTTTTATGCCCTCATTGACACAAACTAAGTCATCTGGAGGACGGATTGTCTCGACCCGGACAGTCAGGTCCGACCCGGGCTGAACAGGACACAACATCTGGGCAGGTAAGCGGAGATAATGGATAGAAAAAACGGCAGAAGATAATCGGAGACGTCTCCGGCGAACACCCAGGAACTATTCGGAGACGCACTCCCGCACACAGCTTTGGGAGGGGTCAAACTGCGAATTGTTTGCTGCTGATCACACATACAGCCACTAAAACTGTC